TTCCTGCTTCCCTGGAAGGCCGCTGTTCTCTGCTGGGCCTGGGGCCTCCTCACACCCCAAGATTGGAAAGATGGTTGGGGGCACTGAGCTAGTTCCCTTTGGACCTTGAACCAGGCTACTGAGACCCAAAAGCCAAAAGTCAGAGGTGGGAGGGCACAGATCCGGAATGAAGGCTTGCTGTTAGTGGGGATGAGAACAAACCCCTCAGCTCCAGACCCCTCCCGCTTTGGAGACACGCACAGCATCTGATTGATGCATCCCGCCTCCTGGTCCCGCCCCTCCCGCCAGCCGCGCTCCACCCCGTCCCCACCCCGCCGCGCCCTCCCCTGCGCCGGTGGCTTTCCTTAGACCTTGCACAGCCAGCCGGTCCCTCCTCGTTCTAGCAGCTTCGTAACGGTTTTTAAAACCCGTGAGCCTGGGCTGGCCCTGGTTCCACCCCAGAGCCCTAAAATGAGGAAGCTTAGGGTCTGGGGGTCAAAGAGAAAGGGTGTCTGGTCCGGAGAAGGTTGGGGCTCAGGGAAGGGGGCGGGAACATCTGCCTCCAATCCCGGGCTGGGCTCGGGGCTGAGGAAGGATGGAGCCAAAGGTTCCCCCTCTGAAAAACAAGGGGCGTATTCAGCACTTCCCAAGATCCCCTCCAACTCTAAGGACAGCAAGACTCCAGGGAAGGGTTGTGAGGTCTTTAGGGGCAGAAGATCCTGGAACTTGGCTCGAGCTGGGATTAAGGGCAGGAGAATGGGCAGGTGAGGCGGTGGACTCTTGCTTGATTCCATGTAGCACCGGATGGACAAGATGGGGAGGCCTCCAGCCGCTGTCTTCCAGGCAAGCCGGTCACAGGGCCACAACTTCCGGAGAATTCCTATCTCCCTCTTTCTCCAACCACCCCTCCCCCGGCACTTTCCCTTTCGAGTGTCTCCCTGGCCCCTCTTTTAGGTGATTTTAGTACTTGCCCGCGGTGACTTGGTTAAATCGCCAAGAGCATATCTAGGAGGCGGGACTGAAGGAAAAGAGACCACCAGTCAAGGACAGACCACCGAAGGAGACCCGGGGGGACCAGCAAAGCCAGGGTCGTCTTTATTGAGGTGTCCAGGGAGAGGAACACCCAGGAGCAGACCTGAGCACTGAAGAGCGAGAGGCAGGAACAGGGGCTTCCTGGCGCCGCAGGCCTCGGTCTCGGGGGCCGGGAGGCAGGCAGTGGGTGAGGTGGGTGCTCACAAGGACTTCAGGAAGGCCCTGTACTTGGCCAGGAAAGGGGCGGACAGAGTGTTCAGCTCTTGCCGCAGCTCCTCCAGGGCCCGGTCCTGCTCTTGCTGCTCTCCCGTCATCTGCTGCTTATAGTAGTTGATGTAGAAGTTCACCCAGTCCTCCACCATAGTCACCATGGCCTCCTCAGAGACAGGAGGGTCGCTGAAGACCTGGGGGTGCGGGTGGGGGTGGGGGTGGAGAGAACGGTCAGCGATGTGAGTCAGGAGCAGCCCTCAAACCCTGACATCCTCTCTTCTCGGATTTGCATTCCCTGTCTCTGGTGGTTTCCAACATCTCCACCGCTACCCTCCCAGCTCCAAATTATTCTCCTGCCCTGCCCTCCCCAACCCCTCGGCACCCCAGGCCTGTCCTTTGACACAATACTGGGGCGTACCTGCTGATTCAGTAGAGCATTAAATTCCTTCATGCCTGTGGAAATGAGATCTTTATTAGCCTGAAGGAGCGCCATCTGCCTGTTTAGAGAAAGACATTGTAAGTATCCTTTTCCCTCACCCCTGGGTATTTCCCCCAAGCCCCTCGCTTCTCCTAAAGGTTCCTGGTGCCCTGCAGGGTCGCCTCCGCTCCCGTACCTTTCAAATCCTGCCCTGCTCTGAAGTCCCGTTTCTCCCGGGTTGGCTCACTTGAGGTCCAGCCGTGCTCTTATGTGTCACCCACACTTTCAGGCTACGTGTGTCGCTCTGCGCCAAGCTAGGGGCAGGCAAGGAGTCCAGTGTCAGCCTACGAGGGAAACGCCCCGCATCGAGACCCTGAGGGAGGGTGATAGGTCAGCCCGGGGAGGGGAAGGAGGGCGAGGCTCCCCTGAAGTTAGAAAGATAGCAAGGCCACAGAAACAGATAAGGGAGACCCAGAGAACCACGCCAGGGCCAGGGCCTTGCCTGCCGCCCACATCCCAGCATCCAGGCTCCGAATGCCAACAACACTAACATCAACTGACCGTCACCCTGTTACAGGGCAGGCCTTTCACATCATCGCGGCAGCGTGATGGCAGTTTTCTCCTGATTCATAGATGATACGTGAACAGCAGCTCACGTTATATTTCTCACTGATGCCAGGCACTGTTCCCAGCATCTGCTAAAGGTTTGTCCTTATGTAGGCAGGTGTCAGTCATGTCACAGTGGGCAGGTGAGCCATACGGAAGATGTGGGGACCGGACTCCACCGGGCTGTGCTCTGTAAGAATGGAGACACAGTTGTCTTGTTGTCTAACATGTCGCTAGGCACTCAGAGTAGAAGTACTCTTTTCGTCTTTTTAAATATTTTCCTCATGTTTTCCATTTTTACTAGCCGTTTTCAAATTTCCAGCCACCACATACTACTTGAGATTAAGTGAAACATTACCCAAATGTACCCTGGAAAAGGTGATTATTTTTGCTCCCTCCCTCTACCAAGTCACCAGCATTAAAGACGCGTGTATTTCCTGTGACGTCTTGCTGCATTCAAAACCCAGCGTTCATACTTCCTAGGTACCTACACTCTCAGAGACATTTGCCGATTTTCTTTCTTGCTTACAGCATTTTCTTTTAACATTCAGCAAAATTGACCTCTTTTTGGCGTGCAATTTATGATTTTAATATATAGATTTATGTCACTACTACCGTAGTCAGGACATAGAACATTTCCTTCACCCCCCAAAACTCCCTCATGCTACCCCTTTGTAGTCACCTCCAGGCCCATCCCTAAAGCCTGCCAAGCACGGATCGGTGCTCCACCACGGCAGTTCTGTGTTTGTGAGGTCACCCTATGATGGAATTGCATGGTCTGTAACCCGTAAGCCTGGCTTCTTCCTCTCAGAATAATGCCTTCAAGATTCATCCAAGTCCTTGCAAGTAGCAGTAAGTTGTTCCTTTCCGCTGCGGAGGGTGTCGCCCGGACACACTGCAGTTCCTGCTCACCCACTGACAGCTGGGTAGTGTGCAGCTGGGGCGAGCAGGAGTGCGGCTGCTGTGAATATTTGCGTCAGATTTTTGTGCCAATGCGTTTTCATTTATCGAGGGTGCAAACTATTGTTGCCACTAGGAGGAACAGTTGCAAAACAACCTGACAAAGCTTTTTAGAGGAATAATTTGACAACACTTGTTCCAATTAAAATATGCATGCCTTTCAACCCCATGATTCTGCTTTGGCCTCTATTTTAAAGAAATGTTCGTATTCAATGCACAAAAAGGCCTGTACAAGGAATTTACCAGACAAGGAATTCGCCATCTGTGATCATGAAAAGACAGAATCCCCTTTACTATGGGGAATCTAAAGAAATTATGGCACATTCATACTAAGGCATGACATACAGCTATTAAACGAGGTAGATACGTATGTGCTGATATGGAAAGATCTCTAAGGCAATATTAAGTGAACTATAAATAGAGCAGGCTGTCCCAGGCTCCAAGTATGGGAGTGGGAGTTGGATTAAATGTAAGATTCTCTCTCTCTCTCTCTCTCTCTCTCTCTTTCTCTCTCTCTCTCTCTTCCTCTCTCCCTCATTCCCTCCTTCTTTCTCTCTCCCTCTCTCCCCTTCTCTCCCCTTCTCTCTCTGCCCCTCCCCCCTGTGTGTGTGTGTGTGTGTGTAGAATGATAAACAATATCTACTTCTGGGGCTTGATGGGCATTTGTTGGGAAATGTAAAGAGGGATTAATGTCAGGGCGAATTTGACCTTATCCCTCTTCCCTCTATATTGCTGTTTGAATTATTTTACAGCATGAATGTATCCTATTATTTTTTGTAATTTTTAAAAAGAAAAAATAGTGTAGTTCTAAAATCATTAGCCTCAGATTTAAATCATGCCTCAGTGCCTACAAGAGTAGCAGCTGCTCCCTAAATCTTAGTTGAATGAGTAAATGAATGCTTTGCCATTTTCAGTTCTGTAACTTTGAAGTCACTTCATATATGTAAGCCTCCGTTTTGTCTGTAAAGGAGGAATAAAATAATAACTGCCTTACAAAGGCTATTGGGGAAATAAATACTATTCCACCAATAGTATCGGGCACCTACCTTTGTGCCAGGCGCTGGTGCCAGGCCCTGGGAATACACCACTACCAAACACAGTGCCCCTCCCCCTCTCAACTCCAGGCACACACTCCTGTCCCCTGGAGCTTGTGTCCTGGTGGGGGAGTGCGAGGGTGAGAGGCCAAGTCTGAGAGGTGGGCAGGGCCCATTCACAGAGCCTCGTGGGCCACAACAAAAAGTTTGTGTTTTATTTCCAAGTGTGAAGAAAAGCCATTGAAAATAACAGCTCCGGCGGGAAGGGGAAGCGGTGGGGTAGGACCAGATTATTCCCATTTCACAGATGAAGAAACTAAAGGACAGAAAGAAATTTGCCCGAGATCTCACCGATATTAAGTGACCCCGGGATTCAAACTGAGGCCCTCTGATGGGATTCATTCACAGAGGTGGGCCTCAGAGTTCCGTACACTCACAGGAGCTAAGTTTTAAAACATTACAGGTTTGTAACCCTTCAATTGTTCACTCCAAGGAGCAACCCAAATTTTACAAAAGGAAAAACGAAGTCCCCGGGTCTCTCTGGGCCTCAGAGAGGCTCTGTGTAGTTCTGAGAGAAGATGAGGGGGTGGCAGCCTTGCCAGGATGAGGTCCCAGGGGGAGGTGATAGTTTGGGAGAATCAGAAGTTTTAAGCAGGGAGTCCAGCTGGGAGCAGGTGGGTGTCCAAAAAGGCCAGCGTGGGGGCGGAACAAACTCTCCTGTACCCTCAAGGTTCTCCTGCTGGTCTAATCACCAAATAGACATGAAACAGGTTAGCAAGAGGAAATAACCAAATTTAATACATTTATAGGAGTGGAAACCCCACATACATGAGAGGTTCAGAGACCCCCACATGCATTAGAAGTTCAGACATAGAAAGAGGGATCTGGGCATATAAGACATTCTGAGCAAGGGATGAGGGAAGGTGCCTTGGGAATTCATAGGTCATGGCAGGATGATAAGAAGAGCAGATGTTTATTAAGTAACAGTTTTCCCTGCCATATAGTTAGGTCAAAAAGGTTATTGCTAATCATCTCTTATTATGGACAAGGCCCCCAATTCAAGATCTAGGTAGTTAAGGGAGGGGCAGAAGGTTCTCTTGAGCCTGAAGCTAAAATTGCCTTTAGCTCAAAACAATCCACATACCACAGAAGCACATCTTTGGGTGACTCCTTTTGAACCCCGACACCAGGCTAAGGAACCAGGGTACTTTTCTGATAACAAGAGGGTGCTTTTGCCACATTTCTATGTTGGAGTCAGTACATTGCACTGAATGGGGAGGAGGAAGAAGGAAGGGAGAAGGGGAAAGAGGAAAAAAGGTGAGTTGGGAGAGAAACACTGTCTTTAGACTCTCCCCCAATAAACACACAAGAACTTTTCGCCTATTTCTCTTGTTTTCTGACACTATTCTGCAATCCTTTGATTTTCTCATTTCTCAGATGTCCCCGGGATCCTTCCAGAAACAATACTCTCCCCACCTTGGGGAAGCTGAAGGGCAGAGAATTTCTAGTGGAGGGCCAGAGCAGCGCAGAAGAAAAACAACAAACAAAAAGGGAAGTTTAACAGGGCCTCCTTGGGATCATCTGGTCCAGCTTCTCACCATGCATGCATTCATTTATAAGTATCTTTTAAGCACCTACTATGTGCTCGTTACTGGGGATCAAACAGGAGTAAAATGTAGCCCCCTGGCCTCACACCAAAGAAGGCACCTGAGGCCCAGAGGCACTGAGATGCCCAGAGTCACACAGTGAAAAACTCGTGGCCGCCCTGGCTGGTGCGGCTCAGTTGGTTGGGCATCATCCCTCGCACCAAAAGGTTGCTGGTTCTATTACCAGTCAGGGCACACGCCCTGGTTGTGGGCTCGATCAGTTAGGGGGCGTGCAGGAGGCATGTTCCGCTCCCACACGGATGTTTCTCTTTCTCCCTCGCCCTCCTCTCTCTCAATAAAAAGGTATTTTTAAATAATAAAAACTAAAAATTCTGCCCGGCCAGGGTGGTTCAGTGGTTGGGCATGGACCCATGAATCAGGAGGTCAGGTTGGTTCAGGTCAGGGCACGTGCCCGGGTTGCGATCCCCAGTAGGGGGCGTGCAGGAGGCAGCTGATCGATGTTTCTCTCATCATTGATGTTTCTTTCTCCCTCTCCCTTCCTCTCTGAAATCAATAAAAATATATTTAAAATTAAAAATAAAAATTCTGTGGCCACAGCAGGTCTGGAACACAGCGGTCCCAGACGCTCTGCCCCCCTCCCCCGCCCCCCGTAACTGGAAGTAGCGGGTCTCAGGGATGCGGGTCCCTCCAGGACTCCTCGGGCCGGGGGTCCCGTCGCTCCCGCGGCCCAGCTGCAGAGAA